GGTTTCCTATCCACCCTAGGTTAGAGGAGCTATAGACGGATTAGAAGACGGCCATCTTACCCAGCATTATTAAAAGTGGTATAGTTAGTAGTAATAATAAGAGTAGGGCGTATAAGGTTAGTAATAATCTATTTTAGAGGCGCTTCTACAAAGGCCGAAAATATTATAGAGTTATCTTTAATCTTAGTAAAGCCTCCCGCCCCAAAAGGCCTAATAATTAAGAAGCCTTTCCCTTTCAGCATCTCCTTTACTTCTTCCGTGTAGCCAGGATCCTAAGCTAGTAGTTGGATGTTATTCGCACTACACATGTCCACTATAGTCAAGGCGACCGAATACTGGATCATGCTAGGACGGATAAATTCGGCTTCTAGCTCCTACCCACTTAAGCCCGTTTACCGCCTATACCACTCTAGAGGTCTATAACACATGTCGCCCAGTCCAAAGTAAATAATCTTGGCTACCATTCTTACGCTAAACACCTCCTCAAGCCAAGACTATAGTAAGCGGTAGCTGGCACTCTAACTCTAGGTATGCCTATTCTCTTTAAAAATGGTATTAGCATTTTTAATTATGCCTTAAAATCGTTTCATGCAAATATTCTCCTAGTAGACTAGATATGAGTAGTAGTATATTTTAGAAGGGCTATTAGGCTATGCTATTACTAGTCGCCAGTACTCTTAGTATGTGACGTAGGGCCGCCTATGAGGTAATTAGCTATTCTATATACCACATAGGTATGAAGCACTTCCTTACTAGATTAGGCGTCTTTCTGTAAATATGGGATTCTTTATATAAGCTTCCATGCCGTTAATTAAGCGAATAGTAAAGTATTTAAGGTCCATAGATTATAGAAGTTACTATTTAATATATTAAAGATTGTCCTTTAACTATAATTTAACACCGTCCTTATATAGATTAGATGCGATTTAACTACTCTTTCACTACTCTAAGTAACCATACGCTAGGAAAGATGTATTAGATGGCATGGTACTAACATAGGATGAGTAGGGTTAGTCTGTGGTAAGTATAG